GCTGATGATCCCGGACGCGAGAGCTAGAAAAACTTTTCCCTGCGTGTCCTGTACTCAGTCAATCCTGGACCTGTTACAGAGACTGCTGCTTAATTGGGGCAGCAGCCTAGGTGAAAGCATTTGAAAAATCCCAGCCGCTATGGAGAACAGTAAGGAGGTTCCTTAAAAAACTAAAAATAGAATTACCATACGACCCAGCAATCCCACTACTGGGCATATACCCTGAGAAAACCATAATTCAAAAAGAGTCATGTACCCAAATGTTCATTGCAGCTCTATTTACAATAGCCAGGACGTGGAAGCAAACTAAGTGTCCACTGACAGATGAATGGATAAAGAAGATGTGGTACATATATACAATGGAATATTACTCAGCCATAAAAAGAAACGAAATTGAGTTATTTGTAGTGAGGTGGATGGACCTAGAGTCTGTCATACAGAGTGAAGTAAGTCAGAAAGAGAAAAACAAATACCGTATGCTAACACATATATATGGAATCTAAAAAAAAAGGTTCTGATGAACCTAGGGGCAGGACAGGAATAAAGATGCAGATGTAGAGAATGGACTTGAGGACACAGGGAGGGGGAACGGTAAGCTGGGACAAAGTGAGAGAGTGGCATGGACATATATACATGTGAGGTGAGACAGGCCACCAGATCAGAAGTGTCTGTACCGGGAGAGCTTCGCGGCTCTTACACCTGCTGTTATAAACATTTCCCTTAGTTATAGGCATTCTCTATCCCTAGGAGTGTGAACTCTGAGAAGTTGTGACTTTGGTTTGAAGCTAAACCCAGTCTGAGAGAGCTGGCCTTTGGACTGTCAAACACGGAGCCTCCCAGGACATTCCAGTGGGTTCCCAAGGACATGAATTGACTGTGTGTTTGAACTTGAACCCGATGGGCGAAACTCAGGCTCTTTGCCGTGCTGAGATTTGGCAGCCAAACCCCGAGCATTTAATTACGCTGCTGCAGAGAGCGCTCCAGCGAGGTGCGTCCAACGCAGACAATTATTTTAGGAAAGCCGTGGAGGCCTCCTCTCTGTGCCGCTTAAATCATGCTTCTCTTTTACAATTCAATATTTCGTGTGTTGAGAGAAAATGGCTTGTTTGCTTCAAAGCACACGCTACAGAATGTAGGAAGGGGATGTTAATTATGTTGAACCGGGCTGCTTTGTCTCTGCACAAATGAGAATCTTCGGGGGGGTTCTATCCAAATTGCTTGGGGATCAGAGCCAGGGGAGCACGGATGGAGACGTTTGGACTCAAGTTCATGGTTTTGTATTTTTTGTCTTTGTTTTTTAAGAACTGTATTTGTCATGAAAAAAGGTGAAGCTAGTTCTGCATTCTCCTAGAACCAAAGGGGAAGGCATTCCTGAATCACTTTTCTTTTCTTTTTTTAAAGTTTTATCTTTTACTGGAGTTTAGTTGATTTACAATGTGGTGTTAGTTTCAGGTGTACAGCAAAGTGATTCAGTCATACATATACATATATTTATTCTTTTTCAGATTCTTTTCCCATACAGGTTATTACAGAATATTGAATAGAGTTCCCTGTGCTATACAGTCAGATCTTATTGATTATCTTTTTTTTTTTTTGCGCTACGCAGGCCTCTCACTGTTGTGGCCTCTCCCGTCGCGGAGCACAGGCTCCGGACGCGCAGGCTCAGCGGCCATGGTTCACAGGCCCAGCCGCTCCGTAGCATGTGGGATCTTCCCAGACCAGGGCTCGAACCTGCATCCCCTGCATCGGCAGGCAGATTCTTAACCACTGCGCCACCAGGGAAGCCCTGATTATCTATTTTATATAGAGTAGTATGTGTATGTTAATCCCAACCTCCTAATTTATCCCTCCCCCTCTGGGTCACCCTTTTTGTCTTAGGCCATCCTTCTTGGTTTTGGTCAGGCTTCTTCAGGAGCAGAGCTGGATGAGAGGAGTTGAGTGCAAATACTTAGCTGGGAGGCGATCCCAGGAGGAACCAGTGGCGAAAGGGAGATGGGAAGTGAAGGAAACCCAGGCAGGGCAATCTAATGGTGCCACTGTGGGCACCTGGAGCACAGATCCCCATGGGATCCTCTGGGAAACTGCAGGCAGCAGGCACCCCAGAGTTCTCCCACTGGAGAGGCGAGAGGGCTGGTATTTATCACGAACTCCGTGGGGACTTCCGGGTGGGAGGTGCTTCTGCCTGCCCAGTGCAAAGGCAGGGTGGGCTCGGACCACCCGAGGAAGCCCTTGGCAGTGAGGGATCCTGGGTGCTCTGCAGTAAGGCTGGAGTGTGGGCTCCACCTGGACCATGCCTGCGTGCAAGGGAGCCTGGGAAGGTGAGTGACTTCATTCCTCCGCCGGGGAAACATGGACTTGTAAAGAGGGGGTTCCCTCAACCTCCGAAGTGTGTACATAAGGCTCAAAGAATGACTAATGACAATAGTTTCAGATGGCATCTATGAATGTTTTCTTTTTTTCTTATAAATTAGCGGACGAGTCAAGCTCATCTGTACCGTGATATCACTTGCTCACATTCCAATAAGCTAAAAAAAAAGGCTTTATTGAGTGGGAGAGAAAAAGGTGGGCTAACAGCTGGAGTCTCTGGGATTGCTCATAACTCACAGCCTGGCTTATCTCTGCTACAGCTCATGGGAACAGCCTCTGCGGGGTGATAAGTAGCGGCTGTGCAAATGATCCATGATGGTGAAGCTTTGTTTCTCTGTAAAACACTTGGGGTTTTATCAGACTTTCTTCCCCGTCTTAGGAATGCATTCTGGATAGGACCAGCATCTTCTACTTCCCATCTCCTCGGTTTCCACCCATCATCGCTTGCCTGGACTCTTGCAGTGACCTCTGCCCTGGTTTCCCACCCTTGCCACCTCACACCCACAGTCTGTTCCCCCCCCACAGCAGCCAGGGGGCGCTTGTGAACACCTGAGTCAGGTCCTGTCCATCCTCTGCACAGAACCCTCCTTGGCTCCTACCTCACTCAGAGCAAAAATGTGTCCTCCCCATGGTCCACAAGGCCCTGTCCCATCTCTGTCCTCATCTCCCCCACCCCGCGCACAATCTCTCCCTCGGTGACTCTGTTCTAGCTGAACTAGCCTCCTCCATGTTTCCCAAGCATACCAGGCATGGTCCGGCCTCAGGGCCTTTGCACTTGCTGTTCTCTCTGCCTGGAACATCTTTCCCCAGATATCCTCATGGCTCCTCCCTCACCTCCTTCAGGTCTTTACTCAAATGACATCTTCTCATTAAGCCCTTCCCAGGGCCCCTAAAATTGCAATCCCTAACCACCCCCCAACCCTAGCATCCTCCATCATTTCTTCCCTGCTTTACTTCTCTCTATGGCACTCAAAACCCTTTAAATACTTGGTGTTAACTTATTTATTTCTGTTGCTCTCCACTTTAAAGTAACTCCTAGAGGAGCTTTTGTGTTTGTGTTTTGTTTACTATGTTTTCAATGTCCAGAACAGAGCCTGACACACAGTAGGAGCTTAACAAATATTTGTTGAACAAATGAGACCACCATGCCCCGATTAAAAACAAAAAGACTGGGACTTGTGACTGACTCCAGTACGTTCTGGGGAAGCTCAAGGGGGCCTGATCTGGGGGCCCAACACGTTCCATCCAGTGAGGATTCAATGCTTTTTGAGCAGTGTTTCTCCAATCCCTCCAGGTATTGGTCAGAATTTGTGTGCCAGAAGTGTCCCTTCCTCTCTCCCCTTCTCCTGGCTCACTCATCCCTCAAGTTCAGCTTACTTGTCCCTTCCCTGGGGCACCTCCTCTGAGACCCTCAGCCTGGGAGGGTCTGTTACTCTCTGTACTTTCTTTGTAGCATTCACTGCAGCATAGTTCTAGAAGTAATGGCAGGATTCCATAATTCATGTCTGTCTCCTCCACATCTATGGGCAGCAATCGATATGCTTTCTTCGTCTCTCTCTTCCTAGACCCTATCCCAGACCCATGCCTGGCATAGAATAGGCACTCACTAGATATTTTCTAATAATTTTGGAAAAATATGGCTCTGATGAACATGAGCCATAGGACACACGCATCCCTTAAAAACCTGAACAACCAGCGTCAGTTCCCTGATGAACATGAGCATTTCAAAGGTTCTGATAAGTCCTGCATTAAAGAAACTCGTTTCAGGAATTCCCTGGTGGTCCAGTGGTTGGAGGTCTGTGCTTTCACTGCTGAGGGCCCGGGTTTGATCCCTGATCGGGGAACTAAGCCCTCAAGCCGCGCAGCATGGCTAAAAAAAAAAAAAGAAAGAAAGAAAGAAAGAAACTCGTTTCACTCAGCAATGCACAAACATATTTGACCTCAGAGTACCGTCTTCCCAGCATGCCTGCTAAGATTGCCAGGGTTCCAAGGAGCATGGTTTGGGAAGCACAGCCATAATTGATCCCTGAATTATCTGAGCAGCATCAACTGACTTGAAGTTTAGTTTAGGAGGAGTCTAAAAGTGACGCCTTTTAGTCAAGGGCTTGGAGGTCTCTGTGAGGAGTCTGTCACCCTTTGGCCATCACCCTGCCTCTTCTCAGGAACAGGGGTTGGTGGAAGGGGGAATGACAATAGTAGAGTTATGCTTAGTGGCCCCCAAGATATATCCAGAACCTGTCTGTCACTGTGGGTTGAGAAGCAGAGAGGAATGTTCAGGTTTGAGGGTTGGTAGGAGTCTGAGTCTATGTTCTAACGGTGGTTATGGAGGCATTGTTGCATGCGTGGGCAAATGTGTTTGAGAGAATGAATTCCCCTCTTTGGAAGGGCTCAAATCCCACAATTCCTTGCCATGTTCCTTCGCCCCTCATACCTCAGTCTTATCATCTGTAAAATGGGGCTCCCTGAGGAGGGATTGAGATCACACACGTCTGGCACTTAGCACATGGTCTGGCACATTCCAAGGGTCCAGCAAAAGACGTCTGTCATCTCTCCGGGGCCCCTTTGCTCTCCCAGGAGGGATGGGGTGATTTCCCCCATTGGGTTCCCACTCTCTGACTCCGACTTCCCCGCAGACCCTCTTCCAAAGCCCAGAGGAAGGCTGGCAGCTGTACACCTCGGCCCAGGCTCCCGATGGAAAATGCATCTGCACGGCCGTGATCCCTGCGCAGAGCACCTGCTCCCGCGATGGCCGGAGCCGGGAGCTGCGGCAGATAATGGAGAAGGTAAGAACCTTCCAGGTTCCCTTGTGAGAATCTCCCAATTCCCACCCTGCCCTCTGCCCCCATCCAGGTCAGCCGGGGCCAGATCTAGCCAAACAGATTATTCAGAACTGGTGGATGACCTGGCTCCCCTCCAGGTGGATATTTCGGTCAATATCTGTTTAGTGCTTTCTTTGGAGGAGAAGCTGAGCGCTGTATGGGGACAGGGAAGGAGAACCCCAGTGGCAGCATCTGAGTCTTCGGTGCATGAGCTCTGGCCCCACCACGCACTCAGCCAGACTCACCTGCTAAGAAGGGTCTCACCCTCCATCCCAAGAGACTTACATAAAGATGCCTTCCCCTTCTGATTGTGGTTGATATAAACTGGTCCCCATTCAATACATTCCCAAGGATGTTTCGGTGCCCTTTAGAGGCCGGCTGCTGTCTCTTGCCACTACCCAGCTGAACTGCCCACTAGTCACCTCTGATGTCGGTGTTGAAAGGGACAAGCAACTTCCCACCGCCATCCTGTAGAGGAGGAAGCTGAGGACAGAAGAGACCCTTGTTGGCACTGGAGTCTTCCACCCATTAACTCTGTAGGATCCTGCCCTGCCCGTGACACCGGAACTGCTTTCCCCAACAGTGCAGAATAGCCATGTGGTGGCCCCTGATTGTTGACCACGACCGTAAAAATGTTTTGTGGCGTCCAGGATGGGTATCAGGTTCTTGGCTTTCTGAGAACTTCCAGGTGTCACGTGAACAATGGTTCAGGAAAGTCTGTGTATTTCAACAGGCATCCAGTGTTGCCTCTGAGTTCACCTTGGCCGGGAGGAACTCAACTTAGCCAAGTGGAGGTGGGAGATAGGGGGCCCTCGGTCTGGATTAGGAGAGGTTAGGGCAAGGGGAAGTTCAGTTCCCTCAGTTAGCCTAAAGGTATTTATTGAGCATCTAGTATTTACTGAGCATTCAGCTGTGGACAAGCCAGACACTGGGTCTGCCTCTGAGGATCCCACCTAAAGGAGACAGATGAATAAGAATGTTCCAGGTAGTACTCATAGCTGGAAAGAAAATAACCACGTAAGGGGGAGAGGGTGAGTGGCTGCTTAAGGCAGGGTGATCAGGGAAGGCCACTCTGAGGAGGTGATGCTGGAGTTGAGACATGAAGGATGAGGCGAAGCCAGCGGCGAAGACAAAGGGAACAGTGCTCCAGGTAGAAGGATCAGCAAGTGCAAAGGCCCTGAGGACGGAAGAAGTTTCAAATCTATGTGAGCGAAGTTGGGCTGGTGGTTGCAGTGGATGAACACGGCGAGTAGGCAGGCAAAGGGGCAGGACCAGCTCGCGGGGTCTGCAGGGGAAGGTGATCCAATCTTCCTTTTGAAAAACTCCCTCTCGGGACTTCCCTGGTGGTCCAGCGGTTAAGAGTCCGTACTTCCACTGCAGGGGGCCTGGGTTCGACCCCTGGTCGGGGAACAAAGATCCCACATGCCTTGCAGTGTGGCCAAAAAAAAAAAAAAGAAGAAAAAAGAAAAAACTCTGTCTGGCTGCTCTGTGGAGACTTGACTGCTGGGGACGAGAGTGGAGGCAGGGAGAGCAGGGAGGAGGGAAGAGGTGGGAGGTGGTGGTGGCCAGACTAGTAGCCAATGGATGGATTGGGCCTGCCATTGAGAGGTCAGGTTGCTGGTAAGGTTGGGAGGAGAAGGTTGGTTGGGTGTTTGGCCTCTGGCCCTGCCAGGTCTTGTCTGTGGCATCCCGGGGACGGGGACAGGAGTGTGGCTCTCCCTAACCCTCCAAGTTCCTAGGTTCAGAACGTCTCCCAGTCCATGGAGGTCCTTGAGTTGCGGACGTACCGTGACCTCCAGTACGTGCGAAGCATGGAGACCCTCATGCGGAGCCTGGATGCGAGGCTCCGGGCGGCCGACGGGTCCCTCTCGGCCAAGAGCTTCCAGGTGGGTCCTTCTGGATTCAGGTCGGAGGTCAAGAGAAGCATTGGGATAGGTCCCATTAGTTCCCAGAGTGGGGGGTCACATCTGGGAAGGACCGAGTGTTGGCTGGCCCAGGTCTAGGGTCCAGTGTGGGCTGAATATCAAGGGCCAGGTGCGCATCAGAGATAAGGGGTGAAGTTGTGGGTTGAAGGCTGGGCTCAGGTCTGGGTCACTGGTCAGGGGTTGGGATCAGCAATGGTTCCACCTTGGGAGCAGGAGATGAAGGACAGGATGACGGAGCTGTTGCCCCTGAGCTCGGTCCTGGAGCAGTACAAGGCGGACATGAGGACCGTTGCGCGCCTGCGGGAGGAGCTGAGGAATCTCTCCGGCAGCCTTGCAGCCATCCAGGAGGAGATGGGCGCCTACGGGTACGGGGACCTACAGCAGCGGGTGATGGCACTGGAGGCCCGGCTCCGCGCCTGTGCCCAGAAGCTGGGTATGCCTTGATGCTTGATCTTGACCCCTGGCCTCCACACCCAACCCCAGAACCCTCTGTGTGCCCAGGGCATGGTTTTGACCTCTAACTTCGAAACTTGGACCCTTGACCTCCCTACCCGAGGCCAAAAATAGACCCAGAAGTTGGAAATGCTCCTGACCCTACACTTCCAGTCCCTCACCCCCAACCTCACTCCACCTTGGGACCAGATTTCTGGATCCTTCCTCACCCCCGTTCCCAGCTCTTCAGTTTGATCACACTACCTCGTCCTTGCCCTGCCTCCCTTGTGCTCTTCCCATTCTCCACCCTCATCCCCCCTGTTCCTGCCTCCCAGGCTGTGGGAAGCTGACGGGGGTCAGTAACCCCATCACCATTCGGGCCATGGGGTCCCGCTTCGGCTCCTGGATGACTGACACGATGGCCCCCAGTGCAGATAGCCGGGTGAGTGACTGGGCCCACGCCAGGGGTCAGAACCTATACTGAGGAGGAGACACAGCCTGTGGCTGCCCCTAGGTGCCAAGCGATTCCACATCAATGATTATCTTGTAGGCCAAAGTGTCCTAGGGTCTCCAGGGCCCTTGGACCTCCCCCTGACTGTCTAGCGACCACCAAGTGACCAAGAACTTTCCAGCCCTGTGAATCCATAAGTCAGCTGACCTCCAGTGACTGTATAGAGACTAATGGTTACTAGTACTAACGACCAGCTCCCAGTGACCACTGACCTCAAAGTAACCACCAGTGACCAGTGCCTTCCCAAGGACTAGGACCTACCAGCACCACTCAATGACCTTTAAATTTCTGGTGGCCACCATGGTCACAATTGCCTATCACCTCTGATCCACAGGAACCATCTATTAACTGCCTAGTGACTATCCTAGTGATGGATGTTGGTCACTGGGCAGCCATTGAGTGTCATAGATTAGAGGTAGCAAATAGCCACTGCCCCACTGTGATCATTGGCCTCCCAGGCATCATGGTGGTTCAACCAAGGGGTTACGAGCTTGGGTTTGGGGGGAATTGCCTGGTGGTCCAGTGGTTAGGATTGGTGCTTCCACTGCTGGGGCATGGGTTCAGTCCCTCGTCGGGGAACTAAGATCCCGCAAGCCACGAGGCACCACAAAAAAAAAAAAAAAAAAAGAACTCAGACTTGGAGTTATATCCCGCTTCCACCAATTCTTAGCTGGGAAACTTGGGGACGTTCCTTAATGTCTCTGAGCCTCAGTTTTCCTTATCTTCAAAATGGTTATGATAACATCAGCGTTACAGTTTTTGGGATGCTTAGCCCAATAACCAGCATGAGTAAGGGCACTCACAAACGCTAATACCATGGTGACAGCGAAAGATGTTGACGGAGAGGATGGTGACGTTCATGCCGGTCACCTCGTGGTTACAGGAATTACCCACGGGCGATGGATTCACGTGACCTCTTATCACCCAAGGGCAGCCTAATGACCACTAGCCATCCCATATCCAGTGACCAGTGAACTCCTAGGCCCAGTGAGTCACCAGGGACTGCCATTTCCCCGATTCTTGGGGATCAAGCACTGTCCTCTGAGTGTCTGAGACCAATAGCACTCCCTGACCAAGTGATCCCAGTCACTGGGATGATGCCTGGTCATGAAAGGTCACTGGACATCCCATGACTGAGTAATGACCACTTAGTGGCTGTTGATCCCTAATGACCATATGATTCCTGAGTGGCTGCTGGGACCTTTGGGTCATTGGTGGTGGTCCACCAGTGACCAGCGGCTCTCTTGTAGGTCTGGTACATGGATGGCTATTACAAGGGCCGGCGGGTCCTGGAGTTCCGCACTCTGGGAGACTTCATCAAAGGCCAGAACTTTATCCAACACCTGCTGCCCCAGCCGTGGGCAGGCACGGGCCACGTGGTGTACAATGGCTCCCTGTTCTACAACAAGTACCAGAGCAACGTGGTGGTCAAGTACCACTTCCGCTCGCGTTCTGTGCTGGTGCAGAGGAGCCTCCCTGGGGCCGGCTACAATAACACCTTCCCCTACTCCTGGGGTGGCTTCTCGGACATGGACTTCATGGTGGACGAGAGTGGGCTCTGGGCCGTGTACACTACCAACCAGAACGCAGGCAACATCGTGGTCAGCCGGCTGGACCCGCACACCCTCGAGGTCGTGCGGTCCTGGGACACCGGCTACCCCAAGCGCAGCGCCGGCGAGGCCTTCATGATCTGTGGCGTGCTCTACGTGACCAACTCCCACCTGGCCGGGGCCAAGGTCTACTTCGCCTACTTCACCAACACGTCCAGCTACGAGTACACAGACGTGCCCTTCCACAACCAGTACTCCCACATCTCCATGCTGGATTACAACCCCCGCGAGCGGGCCCTCTACACCTGGAACAATGGCCACCAGGTGCTCTACAATGTCACCCTCTTCCACGTCATCAGCACCGCTGGGGGCCCCTAGGGGCTGCCGTCGTCGCTCACACAGCCACACGAGGGCCACGGGAGCCCTTTCTACTCCACCTGTGTCCTTCCAAATTTATCTTTCTGTCTCTGTCCTGCCCCCTCTCTCTCTCTCCCTCTCCCCTCCTGTACTGTTTTTTCTCCCTCCACCTTTGCGCCCAGCTTTCATTCTCTGCTTCTGTTATTTGTCAGTGCGTTTTCTCAGTATTGTCTCTTCTTTATTGATCTCTGATTTTGATACTTCGCTTTCTTTTTATTGAGGCCTCTCTATCTTTTGATAGATGTGACTCTCCAGCTATCTCTGCCTGTCTCTCTCCCTCCCTCCCTTCCCTCTTTGCGTCCCACTCAGTCCTCCTCTTCCTGGCTTCACGTCCCCTCCTCCCGACCCAAGGAGTTGAGTGCATGGATGTTTCTTATTTTATTTACACCTTTTCTTTCCGGGTTGCTGGAATAAACGGGACCTTTGACATTTGATGCTTCAGCGGCTCTGTGTGTCTGGAAGGGGCAGAAGAGGCCAGGTGGAGGGTGAGCCTGGAGGCCCACCCCAGCTGGGTCCTCTTGTCCCAGGCCACAAGCTTTGTGAACAGGGGCAGGCGAGCCCAGCCTGGGGGGTGGGTGGGTGAGGGCCCTGGCAGAGCCCTTTGGGAAGAGAGGAGAGGATACCCAATCCAAACTTGTTTCAAACAACATGATCCAGCTAACCAAGAACTCTATCACAACGATGAAGATTGGCCTCAAATGAATATTCTTTGTCACTGTTTTTTTTTTTTGTTCTTTTTTTCACTCACTGATCACACAGGTGCATCACTAACCCATCTGGCAACTTTTAAAATGGGTTTTTAACAATTTGGCTGCTTTTAAGAATATGGGTATGAGAGGGTAGCACACAGAATTTTTCCTTTTTCTTCTCTTTTTTCTTTGTAACATCAAAATCATTTTGTATGAGTTGCACCTGTTCTGAGTTAGCTGATTAAAAAAAAGATAGCAAGTCTGAAAGTGCATGGGGGCCCTTCCGCTGGACACACCCACGCCCCGTGCCCGGGCTTGGGCAGGGATAGTCCCTGACGTGGGGACCTACATGGGGACTGGAGCTCCTGGAGGGGAAGGACGGGCAAAGTTAGCAAGTATCAGAGACGGGAAGGGAAGGGGTGTGTGAGAGCGTGGGGAAGAGACTGAAGTAAGCAAAGGCCAAGTCCTCAGGAACCTCGGCAGTGTGACTAAGGTGGGGTGGGAGGGGGTCATAGAAGGGGAAAAACAAAATGAAGGCTTTATTTTAGCCAGATCTTTGGTAGCCTGGGTGACAGACTGCAAGGAGATGGGGGAGACAGTCGCCTCTGAAGCTGTGGCCGGGAACAAAGGTAGTGCTGACCTCTCCCCGCGTACGCCCCAACAACGGCCCCCCCTGAAATCTCCAGCAGAAACATTGTGCAAACAGCCCACAGGCCCAGACAACACCCCCCCCCCCCACCCCTGCTGAGGCCACGGAGGCCAAGCTTGCTCCTCTGGGAGGAACCCTGTCTCCCCGTCTCTAATTAATGGCCTGATTAAATCATCTCCGCTCCGTGATGGCATCTCCGGGAACTCGGGACACTGGGGCCGTACTGCCGAGGAAACCAATGAATAATAAATGCGACTGCCTAATGCACTCATTTAAAACCAATTTTTAAAGAAATCTTCAAGAAAAGCAATTAATTTCCATTTAAATTAACAAGTTCGACATTGAAGAGAACCGATTCCTGGATAAGCACCTTGAGAGGCACTTCGCTCTGTACCTGCTTTTAAAAAACAAACACACAAACAAAAAACAGGCACAGGGCGAGGGCACCTAGAACATCTGCGCCCCATCCCTCCAATTTGTATTGGGCATCAGACAGATGCCCACAGGCGCCCCTTCTCTCTTTCACACACACACAGAGGCAGGCCCAGCCCTCCTTATACTTTGGGGTTGGTGGCTTTTGTTCCAACCAAGGTAGGCAAGGAGTAATTAACTCCCCGCCCCTCGACCCAGGCGAGGGTTGCGTGTCATCTGCGTGTGTCCTAGGCTGCCTACTGCTTACCCTGCTTCCCCTTTTGTGGAGGTGTGTCTGTCTACATCGGGGAAGCTTTGTAGCCCATCCCGTGGCAGTACCCATGTTACCCCGAGTTGAAGTAACTGGCTCTAGCCCTGCTCTGTGGCCACAGAAGCCTGAGCTGGTGAAAACGGCAAAAGAGTGGAAACCAGCCCCCTGGGTCGAGTTTGGGCCGGGAGGTGCCAGACCAGTGACAAAGAGTATACTCTCACCACGCTGAAGGCCTGGGATTTAGGGCCTCACTTCTGGGCAGGAGGGGTGTGGAGCAGGTGACACAAGCCACAGCTCGTGAATCACGCGTGCTGCGTGCTGAGTGGGCTCTGGGGGCATGTTTACCAAAGAGCAACGTTCTTTTGTGTTGGGTTTTGGCCGCTGCACAGCTAGACAAAGGAAGAGGGAGGTCCATGGAGGCAGGTGGTCACGCCCAGACGGGCGGACCCCCGGGTCACACAGGACAGACACACACCTAAGGCCAACTAGTCACATGGGCATATGCAGGCTTGGGCGCACACACACACACACATCCCGCACCCTCCCTTCCCCGGCAGCATCTCAGATGCCTGGGAGCCCAGGGAGACCTTCCCCAGGCCTTTGGTGCTGAGAGCGAGGCACAGGCCCACCCTCAGGTGGTGCCTTGGAGCAGGACCCTGAAAACCCTTCCGCCCCCAAGTACTCATTTCCGATCCTTCCCAGAGGCTCCTTTGGACCTGGAGGGGTGCAGTGGCTCCCCCGACACCACAGAACGGTTGGCGCAGACAGCAGGGCTGCTACCTGCCTTGTGGCCTCCACGGGTGGTGGGAGAGGATTCTGCCTGGAGGCGCAGCCAACCATCAGGCTCTCCCCAGCCCACCAGAGCTGAGAGGAAATTCATTAAACCCTCCTAATGACAAACGCTCTGGCAGGCGGCAGGCAGAGAGCGATGGCTCCAGGAGCTGGCCAGATGGGAGTCGGCCCAGGTGGCTGTTTGAGACTCGGGGCTTTTATCAGAGACTCAGCTTCGTCGGGGATGGGGCGGGGGGCGGGGTGTTCCCTGGTGTCAGGCCAGGAAGGGCTTTATTTTCCTCAGGTGCCCAAGCCCCGCTAGCCCGCCACCTGCCCCCCGTCCCCGCCCCGGGCTGGTCCCCGTGAAGCAGGTGGGCAGACCAGGCCTAACCGCCTCTCAGCAGCACCGCAAACCTCCTGACTGACCTGAGCCCCCAGCCCAGGCCCTGGCCCCAGGGCAGCTACGAGGAGGTGATGCACAAGAGGTGGGCCGCACCCCAGCCCCCAATCTGAAGAGGAGGAAGATTCCCCCCCACCCCCACCTCCACCCCCATGTGCCACAGCGATTCCCTCTGCTCCACGGAGGCCCCTCCCCCAGAGGGCGGGGCAGGATCCCTGCTCTCAGAGGCGCCTGGCAGGACCCCCCCACCCGCCTGGCCCCCTGCTGCCATGGTAACGGCGCCTGCAGAGGCCGCAGGACCCAAGCACAATCTTCCAGAGCGCTTGTGGTGACAGGGAAGCGGGCCTCAGGGTGCTGGGCGTAGTTCATTCTAACTCAAGTGGCCCATGTGCGTGGAGGGAGTTGGTGGGAGGGGGGTGGCGAGAGCACCCAGGGCACGGGGGCTTCAATCTGGCTCCCCGAGGATGCCCTGCTCCACCCGACCTGCTGAATCCAGAGCCGGGGGGTCAGGGCCCTTGAACACCCGAGTGTGAGGAGCGCTGGCGCTGAGCAATGCTCCAATTCCCCGAGAGTCCGGCTGCCGCTAGCATGCCCCCAAGCCCAGGAAGAGGAGAGGCTGCTCAGGGAGGAAAGGCGGCCTGGACACCTGGACGCCAGGGATGGTGGGAGATGATCGCTCCCCCAACCGAGCCCCACTCACCTCCGCAGGGAGGAAATGAGAGACAGGGACAGCAGAACACTGGTTCCAGGTTTAATGGAGGCTGGGGAAGGTGCTGCACTGCTGCTTAGAGAGGGCCCCCAAGCAGCAGGCAGCCTGGGCCCCAGGCGGAGCGTTTGCTTTTTGCAACTGAATAGAGGGAGGTGGCAAAACCAGAAATAACTCAAGGCCCTGCCCGCGCCCCCCCCCACCCCCGTCCTGGACCTGGGGGGACACAGGGGGCGGCTCAGCTAACCAGGCCTTCTCTTTGGGACAGGTCACCCCCAGCCCTTGGATGTGGAAGCCCGGCGAGCCTCTCCACCCTGCACCCTTCTGAAGTCAATTCCTAAAGGGGAGGGGAGTCTGGCAGGGAGCCCCCGGTGGTGAAGAGCCCCCCTCCCAGCCATTTTGGGATCAATAAATACTGTGTGACACGAGCAGGGAGGGGTGCCCGCTGGTCAGCGGCAGCAGGGAGCGGCGTCTGTGCGCCCGGCCACCCTGCCCCGCACCCACCCGGGCGGGGGCGGGGTGTGTGTGCGGCGGGCCTGGCCGTCCACGCCCCTCACTCCGTGCGCAGGATGATGTGGATGCCAGAATCCGTGAACACGGGCCCGCTCATCTCCCCTGTCCGCAGTGCAAAGGAGGCATCTTCAAACGGCTTCTGCATCTGACCTGGGGAAGGAAGCATGAGGGATGGCAGGTGGGGGGTCAAGACCCGGGCTGCAGGCCAGGACCAGGCAGGGCAGGCAGATGGGGCTCCCGCCTGCACCCCCGGGCGCTCACTTGGACTCATCCGTCACGTGCTTTAGGGCCCGGTCACAGTGGCGAGTGGGGCCCAGCTGAGGGCGGCAGGGCAATTAGGGAGGCCCCGGGAAGGCTGAGGACAGCAAGTGAGGGATGAGGGCAGAGCTGCGGTCTCTGCCGTGCACGTAGAGACGCGTTCTAGGGATGAACTGGTCTCCCTGTGCCGGTCCCCAGCCCCTGCCACACTGTCTGTCTCCCTTGCCTCCTGGGGCGGGCAGGCGGTCCACAGACCCTTGCTGGCTCCCCGACACCCCTCGCCCCATCCTCGGCCCCTCCCCGATGCTCTGTAGACCCCAGGGATGGAGTGGGAAGGAGGCGGAGGCCTGGTTCCCTCCGCTCCTCCCTTTCCACAGCCCCAGCTGGAGATGCCTGAACTCGGGGTTGCTGGTCTGACCCCCTCCTCCCCTCACCCCTGGTTTCCCCACCCATGAGGGCGGGGCAGGGGATGCTGGGGGACATGCCCTGGGGCTCTAAGGGGCCCCAGCCTTACACCTCCAACAGGAGGAGAGGAAAATGGCAGCAAGTACCCACCTTGGTGGGCCCGTGATGGGGACAACTGAGCAGAGAAACACACGGATGGACTCCCCACCGCAAGAGAGAATGTCACTGGGGAGAAGCCTCTGCGGCCACGACCCCCAGCAGGGCGGCCTCTGAAGCCTGAGGGAGGGACTTTGCTGCCACCTGGTGGACTCCAAAGGCCCATGCGACAGGCGTTACCCCTCCCGATCTCTAGGTGGTGGGCGGGCGCTGGTGGGTCAGAGGGTCCTGCGGGGGTTTGGTGGTGCCCATTCCTCGCGCACCTCTGCTGAAGGCACCCAGGTCTCCCCTGGCCTTGGCGGAGCTGCAGTCGCTGAACTGTGAGGCCAGAGATTCAAAGTCCTCTTCTCCCGACTTAATCTTCTGGATGTAGCCTGCGAGGGGGACACACAGGAAGACCTCCCCGTCAGGGGTGGGGCGGGGCAGAGGGCTCCAGGGAGGGCGGCGCTCCACTCGGAAAGTGCCTTTCACGTGCATGCACACCGTGACCCTGTGGTGACCGCAACAGCCAGCTGGTCTCACGTCCCATCCCAATACCGCCCGCTGTGTCACTCCCCACCACACACACGCTCAGCAACATACAACGAACAGAGCATGGCCTCTTCCTACCCTCACACACACTCTGAGAAAATCTACCCCCCAGGCCCTTCTGGGGAGGACAGCAGAAGACAGGACAGAAGTTACAAAGGGACACTGGGACCCAGGGGTCCCCCAAGAGCCCCAGGGCAATGGTGGAAGCCCCAGTGGAGAGTTTTCTAGAGGCTTCTAGGAGAAAGGCAGGAGGCCAGGGCGCCAGCCCAACTCTGCCACAGGAGACGGCTGGGTCCTCAGCTGTCTCATCTGTCCAAAGTGTGAGGAAGGCCAGGGCCGCTTACTGGGGCATCGTGAAGAGACCCAGCGGCGGCCTAGCCGGGGCTCGGGAAGGGACACGCGTCATTCCCACAGACTGCGCCCCAGAGACAGCAGGGTGTGTTGGTAGTGCACCAGATTCACCCTCTGTGCAGCCCAAACTGTCCCCATTGGGTACCGGTTCTCCCCGAGGGACAGGGAGGCCGGGCTGATGGGAGGGAAGGAAAAGGATGACTGAGGCGAAGGGCTCCCAGCAGAGGGCGCCAGGGGGCAGCACCGAGGACCTGTGTGACTCTCCCAGACCCTGCGTGTGCGGGGGGAGGGGGGGGGGTAGGAAAGGGCCGCCAGCCACTCTCCTGAGTCCAGGCAGGAGCCTTTGGAGCAAGAACCCATCCTGTCCTCCCCAGACCACCACCGGACAGCCCCTTGCCTCGAGCTAGGCCTACGTGGCTTCCCTGACAGCCACTCTCCTGGGGGGCATTATCCCTGAGGCCCCTGGGGGGACCTGGGACCACGTACCACCCCCAGCTTAGCGACGGGACACCAGCCCACGCTGGATGTGAGAGGCACCCTGTCACACCCACCAGTGGGTTTCTGAACTCCACGGTGACACCTCTACGTGTTGCTCCTGTCTGACCTAAACGAGGCTGTGACACGCCTGGTACCTGTCTGAGCACCACAGTGACACCACGGATTAATCTACCTGGTGCTCTGAGGCCCAGACACGCAGCCAGGCCATCTGCCTCATGAGCGGCTGGTGCAAACTTCACCTCGGCCCATGGGTCTCCGACTCCTGTCTGACCTCAACATCACTGGTATCCATCTATCTCCCTGGAACGACGGTGACAGCACACCTATCACTCCCCGCCCACCCCCGTCTCACTGCATGTCACAGCAGCAACTGCGTGTCCTGGCATCTGATCTGCTCGGCTGCTTCCACGGCTGTCCCGATAACCCCTGCCTCCCCCGTGTCCCTGTCACTCTCGCTCTGTCCTGACCGTCCCTTTGCTTCTGAGCCTCAACTGTCAGCCATTTGCCAGCAGGCCACAGTGCCCGGCACAGACAGACGCCTTGACAAATGGCACTTGCTGTCACCATCCTGTTCCCTCTTCCGTGTGGGCTGTGCCAGCCGGTGATGAGGCTGCCCCTACTTCTCTCTGACCTGCCCATCCCTGGTCCTCCTCGCCCGCACCTCGCAGTCTGCGCTGGCCGTCACCGTGACGCGCCGCCTGGTCAGGCAGGCTCTCCGTCGGATGCGACACAAGCCCCACCCTCTGTGGACTGCACGCATGCTGCAGTGGCTTCTGCCATAATGCTCTGCTGTGCTCTCCACACCGCCCTGGGGCTGCCAGGTAGGTGATCCCCCGTGCCAGACGCATTCACGGGTGACTGCGATCTGAACCGGATGTCACTAGGATACCCCTCCTCTACCTCCTCCTCTCCCTGGATTCTGGTTGTGTCCTCAGCCTCACCCGGGCAGCACCACGATATCTCCTCTCTCTTCTGTCCGGACCTCAGTAACACCAGCCAGGGAATCCTGAGTGCACAGTGCTCCCCAGTGCACCTGCCCGCCTCCAGGTACCTTGGCAGGCACTGCTGCACATGCCCAGCACTTGGGGAGTCGGGCCCAGCCCTGAGCCCTGTACAAGCACCCCCCTGCTGCATCCTCCAGCAGCTGGAGCTGTGGGCACAGTGGCAGGGAACCCCCGAGACTAGGTGGCCTGGCCAAGGTGTGCACACAATGCATGTGTGCAAGCAACAGCAGCCTAAAAGCAGTATAAAAGCCAAACATTTGCCCCCCCATAATTTGTTTTGTTTTGTTTTTTTTGTTTTTTTTTGCGGTACGCGGGCCTCTCACTGTTGTGGCCTCTCCTGTTGCGGAGCACCGGCTCCGGACACGCAGGCTCAGCAGCCATAGCTCATGGGCCCAGCCGCTCCGCGGCATGTGGGATCTTCCCGGACCGGGGCACGAACCCGTGTCCCCTGCATCGGCAGGCGGACTCTCAACCACTGCGCCACCAGGGAAGCCCTGTTTGTTTGTTTTTTGGGGGTTTATTTGGCCAGCCGCATGGTTTGTGGGATCTTAGTTCACTGGGCCCTTGGCAGTGAAAGCGGAGTCCTAACCACTGGAATGCCAAAGAATTCCCATGTCCCCCATAGTTCGTAGCACCCAAATCTTCCTCTGACCAGCCAACTCTCTCAGAAAATATTCTGCTTGGATGGGAGCCTGAAATGATTTTGTTTAAAGAAACAACGCTTCCTTCCTGAGCTTCCCTTTCAAAAGCTGACCTTCAGGGGTCTGGCCACAAGTCAAGATGCAAGGCTACATTCAGAACCCCCTGTGTCCCCTCAGCTCAGTCTTACACCCCCCATGGTGTCCCGCCCAGTCTTGCCCCCCCCCCACACCCCCACCTCTCAGCCTTTGCTTAACCTTTGTTTAATCGTCTCTTCCCACCCGAAGCTCACCTGCTGTCCTCTGGTCTCACCCAGGAGTCTCCCTAAGGCCTCATTAGGCGAGGTGCCTCCCTGGGCCCTGCATTTACCCCTTTCCTGTTTGTGCGTCTGTTGCCGCCTCACACGGGGAGGACAGGGACCAGGTCGGCCTTGCTCACTGCTGTGTCCCCAGCTCTCCGTGCTGTGCACTGAACAGGTGTTCACTAATGTTGAAGGAATTCGTGAATAAATGAGACAGAAACAGGTCATGGGGAAGGAGAGAGAGGGATCCACCACTGGGTTCTGTAGATGGAAATGCTGGAATCTCATGCCTTTTTTCTGTGAACCTCAGGCTCAAATGCTACAGAGGAGGCAAGAAAGGAAGTACAAACCAGACACCCTGGGCTGTTCTCAGCAATGCCCTGCCTCACCTGACTGGCAACACCCCCTACCCAGACAGCGTCCATCTAACCCTCACCCAACGGGGCAGCTGAGGCAGAGCAGGGTAGATTGTGGACCCCAACTACTGTGTTCGGATCCCAGCTCTACCGATCCTGAGCTCTGCAACCTGGTACATGACTTCGTCTCTTGGAGCTTCACTTGCCTGGTCTGTAAAATGGGCTAATTACCAGCTCTGACCTTGGAGGGCTGCTGTGAAGGGTAAAGGAATTACTGCCAGAACAGTGCCTGGTGCAGAGTGAGCCCCTGACAATTACTAGCTGTCAGTCCATAAATAATACGGGTTGAATGTTTATGTCCCTCCAGAATTCATATATTGAAACCCTAACCCTCCAATGTGATATTTGGACATAGGGCCTTTGCTGAAGTAATTAAGGTTGAGTCATAAGGGAGGGGTCCTGATCTGACAGGATTAGTGTCCTTTTAAGAAGAGACACCAAAAAGCGCTCTCTCTCTCTTTCCCCACTGCATGCACTGAGGTAAGGCCTTGTGAGCACACAAAAGGTGGCCGTCTGCAAGCCAAGGAGAGAGGCCTCAGAAGAAAACAAACCTGTCGACACCTTGATCTTGGACTTCCAGCCTCCAGAACTGTGAGAAATAAATGTCTGTGTCTAAGCCACCCAGCCTATGGTATTCTGTCATAGCAGCCTGAGCTGCGCCATAATTATTTCAGGGAAAGTGAGTGAACAAATGGACTGGTCTCTGACTCTAAAAAGGTTTAGACGGGACCTCCCTGGAGGTTCAGTGGTTAAGACTCTGCGCTTCCAATGCAGGGCGCGAGGGTTCTACCCCTGGTCGGAGAACTAAGATCCCACATGCTGCACAGCACGGCCAGAAAAAATAAAAAAGTTTAGAGACAAACTAGGGAAGGGGCCTGGACAGGAAAAAAGGTGACAGGATTAGGTCTGCCTTCCTTCAAGGCCCAAATCCCAGCAGGGGGTGCCTAGAGAGGCCAGAGACCCAGCCTGAAACCAGCAGGCTAGAAGGGAGCCACCCACCTTGGGTGGGGACACTGGGCCAAAGGTGCTCACCGACCCTCAGGCCCTGGGCACAGTTACATGTAGGGGGACTGCTGCTCACATCAGGGCCTCCCTGGGACCCTCAGGCCCTGGGCATGTGGGGATGGAGGGATGGGAGTAGGCAGGGAGGGCTTCTCCATGGCCTGGCTTCCTTACATAAGGACACGGGCAATGACAGGCAGCCGGTCCCCAGATCCCTGACAAGCCTGTGGCCGCAGCCCAGCAGCTGCAGAGGAGCCAGCACTGGGAAAAGGAGCCTCAGCAGAAAATGTGGACACACTGCCGGCAGCCTGTCCCCTTGGGGCAACTGGGGAGCACAGGACCTAAAAGCGAACTGACAGACCCAGGCTGCCAGCTGCAGAGTGTGCCGCCCGAATTCTGGTCTCTTTACCACCTGAACAAGCCCATGATGAGAACGGGGGGGGGGGGCAACATCCACTTTCACGAAAGAGAAAACCAAGCCCAGGCGCCCGAAGCCCGCTGATGCGCCCCACGAGTGTTTGGTTACCGAGTGCACCATGGCCCGGGCCATCTCACTGCTCCGTCGTAATGACCCTCGAGGGGGCCTGCCTCAGGCCAAGGTCACTGGAGGGTCTGCACGCTAAACCCACCAGGCCTCCCACGTCCTGGCCCAGAGCTCCACCCATGGGCCATGGGGAAGCAGCAGGGAGCTCTTGGTAGGCGGAAGCCTTGTCCAGACCATGGTGCCCACCGCACACTCCTAAATGCCTGGGGTCGAGGCTCTGCTGTGTAGACAGGAAGCGTCCGACACTGAGCCCCTTGCTCTGCTGAGCATTCAGCTGCTGGCTGGCCCCTGGATCTTCATGGCCACCCTGTCCCCATCCTACAGATGAGGCAACTGAGGCTCTGAGAGTAAAGACACTTGCTTGAAGCTACACCGCTGGCACCAGATCCATCTCTGCGTGACTCCAGGGCTGGGCCACGCTGGTTCTGACCTTACCCCACGCCTGCCCCTCTAATCCATCACCCCATCCTCCCGATTCTGCCTCCTAAATGTCTCTAGAATCTACTCTACCTGCTTCCTACCTGCCCCAAGTTCAAGTCACCGTGTTTCTAGTTGAAATTCCTCCCACAGCTTCCACCAGGCCCTCTGGCACAGGCAGGCATGTCGGACCCCTGCTAACACTCCCGAGTGTGCACTGACTTAAGGCTAGGCCCCAGGGCCCAGCTGCTTACTGGGCACACCCCCAGACACCCCTTCCCAAGACCCAGGCTGACCTCAGCACCCCCAGGCTCCCACTGCAGTGAGAGCCCCACCAGACACATCCCTGTCCATTCTAGAGGTGGGGTGGGGGGCATCCTCACCTGCCACTCCCAGGCAGTCCCCAGGGCCCAACAGCTTTCCTTCCACGTGATGCTCAGATATCCCCATGTCCACCTGCCATCTCTGGCCAGGACTGTCGCAAGGGCTTCTGTCTCTGGCCTGCTGCTCTGCTGAATCCAGGTCCTCTCACGGTTGCCTTGCCAACGTCTCTTCCTCAGACCCTCAGATTTAGTGAGTCCCTCCCCAGACTGTGCCTCTTCCCAACCCCCAGTGACGGCACCTCCTCTGCTCAACCTCCAAGTGCCCATCACCTCTTGCTCACTCTCATGTGGTTCGGAAGCCTCAGAACAGGGACCCCTCTAGGAGCTAGGAGGACCCAAGAGGTCATCTCGTGATTCCTCCGGGTTTCCTGCCACGTCCTCTTCCCCTGGGGCCGCCAGACCCCGCTCATTGCTCACAGCTCACCGCTGGTCCAGCCAGCCTGGGCCTTCTGGCTTTCTTGGTCCGTCACCCTCCAGCCACACGGCTCTTTCCTAAAAGCCAGCGCCACAGGGCCCCCCTCCCAGTCACACGTGGCCATGTGTTTCCTGCGGTCTCTGGGAAAGGACCCAAACTCTTGGCCTCACTCTGGGCCGTCCTCCAACTGGCTGGGACCTGCCCTTGAGGGGGTCTCATCCCTCTTCAGTCCCCTGCACAGCCTTCCCCTGAGTCCTACCTACAGCCCAGCCACAGGCCTTCATTTCTGCCGCTTCCTCTGCCAGGGATCCTTCTCGCTTCCTCCTGATTCAGGAAACCAGGCTGCGAGCAATGCCGTGGGCCAGGCTTTGTGTTGGGTGGCAGGAATACAGTGGGGAAAGAGACAGATCCAGTCCCTGCCCTCACGGAGCTCAGGAGGTGAGCTCTTTGAATTTGCCTTCAAGATTCTGTGCGAGAACTTGGCTCTGCTCTACAAGGCTGGGAGGTAGGAGGCTAAGAGGTGCCATTTATCAGGTGCCAGACACTGTATGGGGGGTGTAGGTGTGGGCAGAGGTGTGTTTAAGTAATATCCCACAGGCCAGGGACTTTCCTGGTGGCGCAGTGGTTAAGAATCCACCTGCCAATGCAGGGGACACGGGTTTGATCCCTGGTCCGGGAAGATCCCACATGCCACAGAGCAACTAAGCCCGTGTGCCACAACTACTGAGCCCGTGTGCCACAACTACTGAAGCCCGCGCACCTAGAGCCTGTGCTCCGCAACAAGAGAAGCCACCACAGTGAGAAGCCCGCGCACCGCAACGAAGAGTAGCCTCCGCTCGCTGCAACTAGAGAAAGCCCACGCGCAGCAACGAAGACCCAACACAACCAGAAATAAATAAATAAATAAATAAAATAAAATAAAATAAAATAAAATCCCACTGGCCAAGTACCAGACCAGTGATGTCATAGCAAAACAACAGCCAATATGGACTGATTATGCCAGGGCTGTGCTAATAACAACCATCATAATAGCCACCAGCAATTACAGAACATTTACTAGATGCCAAGGCTGTTATGCATGCTTTACTGCATCAGGTCAGAGTCTTCTCAAGTACCCTATGCAGTGGGTCCTATTATCATAACTCTAATTTTACAAGTGAAAAGATTGAGGCTCTGAGGTGTTAAGTAACATGCTCAAGGTCACACAGCCAGGACCTGGCAGAGCTGGATGGGCACTCAGGCTATTTGGGCATGGGAGAGAGACGGGTTATGTGGGGTTGGAGGGCCCAGGAGGGGTCTGGGATCTCTGGTGAGAGAGGCTGAGTGGATGATGAAACCACACGTGTGATCCAGACCAGCGCTGTCCAACAGAACTTCCTGCAAGGATGGAAACATTCTCTATCTGTGCTGTCCGAGATGGCAGCCACGAGCCACATGGGGCTACTGAACACTGTGCCCAGTGTGACTGAGGACCCAATCTTTAATATGACTCAAATTTAATTAATTTAAATGGAAATAACCACATGTAGGTGGTGGTGGCCACACTGGACAGCTCTAGACCAGGGTGCTGCAAACTATGTCCCACGGGTCAAATCCTGCTGTTTTTGTAAATAAAGTTTTATTGGCACACAGCCGCACCCATCTGTTTACATATCATCTATGGCTGCTATGGAGTCACCAAGCAGAGCTGACAGAGACTGTATGGCCCGCAAAACCTAAAATATTTACCATCTGGCCTTTTCAGAAAAAGTTTGCCTATCGACTGCTGCTCTAGACTGTGGAGGAAACACAGAACACAACAAGGAACAGCCTCCTCCTTCAGGGCAGAGTTAATTCACCGACTCTACCTTTCCAACCTGCCTCCTGACCCATCCATACATGTGCCCCAGGACCCTGCTTGATGATACTACTCTCAAGGATAGCTCCCACTGAATGAGGATCCACTGTGTGCCACGCACTTTCTCATCTCACTGAGCTTTCACGATGGCCCTTGGAGGCAGGTATATGATGATGCCCATTTTACAGAGGTGAAAACTGAGTCTCAAGGAAGCAACGTGAATGTCCCAAAGTCAAGGAGCTTATAGTGGCATGGCTACCGTCTGAACCCAGGTCTGCCAGCCCCAAGGTTGGTTCCTCCACCCCTACCCTGGCTCACCCTCAAATACCAGCTGGAGAGAAAAAGGAGAGGCAGCCGTGAGAGGCAGGCTTGAGGCACTTCCAGGTCTGTCAAGGCCACAGCTGACAGCTGAGCAAGCTGGGGTAGAGAGTCTGGCATGATTTCTATAAGGCCCAGTCTGGTCCCTGGGGAGAGGGACCTGCCCCCCGCCACCCCCAGACCCTGTTTTCACCTCTGCTCACCATTGATCAGCTCCAGAGCCTCCTCCTTGGTCCGGGTGATCTTCTCCTGCCGCCAGGATGAGGGCCGCCGCGACTGGCTGTGCTTGACCAGCAGGTGTGAGCAGCGGACCCTGGCGGGCTCCCCTTGTCCATTTTTGCCGCCGCCAGTGCTATTGCCACTCGGCCGCTCCCACTGGCTGGCGTTAGTGATGTGATTGAAGTAGTACACCCGGCCTGGAAGAGGGGGGAGTGGAATTCAGCTGGGACCTGCTCAGAGGACACCACCGTGAAGCCGTGATAAGGGACTGGCCAATGAGATGCCTCCATTCAGCCAACCCACTGCTGTCCACCAGTGCCACCAGGCCTTAGCGAGCTAACATTCTAGGTGGGGGCAGACAGACACCAAACAAGCAATAAGACCACGTTATAACTTCAGCCATTCATAACTTCAAGGGGGAAAATAACCCCAGGTGAGGAAGAAAGGTTCCAAGCGGGCACTCAGCAGCCAGACCGCCCGTTCAAATCTGCCACTCTGCCACTCACTCACTGTATGATCCACCTTCCCTGGGCCTCGGTTTTCTAACCTGTAGAATGGAGATAACGGCAATACCTGCCTGAAGGGTTGCTGTAAGGGCTGTATGAGTTCACATCTGTAACGTCCTTAGGATAGCGCCGGCACACATCAGGAGTGTGGTAGCAACTATTATGTCCATTTTATAGACCACAAAACTAAGCAACATTTCCTGGGTGTTTACTCTGCTCCAGGCACATACGGGGGAGGCAGGACCTGTACCCATGTGCGTCAGACACAAAAGCTCTGCTCTTTTCCCCTACCCAGTGAACCCTGCTGCAGGACTGGGGGCCAGCATTACTGGGGCCAGATGTTACCCAGAGACTAAGGAGCATGGAGTGAGGGCCGCAAACAATAAGCTTGAAGTAGGACCCAGTAGAGATAGGCTGTCATCCCAGGGGCAGAGAGTTTGCCTGGGTTATGTGGAGGACTTGTGCCCACCAATGTGAAGGGATGGATGTCACCCACGGGGAACACTGTTAGGGTTGCACTGGGAAGAAATGGAGGGAGTGGGGGCCCAGAATTGGGCAGAGCATCAGCTTTATGCTGCAGGTCACAGCCAGGGCTGCAGCAGAGTGGGTGACAGCTGAGCCACTGACTGCCTCTAAAACCTTGGCAATGGGCTCCATCTCCCTGAACCTCAGTTTTCTCATCTGAATAGTGGGGGTGAGGTGAGAGAATAAGGACATCAAACCTCATGGGGTTAATGTGGAGAGTTGATGATGATGTATGCAAAGTGCTCACCAGAGCTCCTGGCGTTCAGTAAATCGGAGTTCTTACCGCGACTGTGATTACTGTGAGCTCTGGTCCAGCGGAGTGAAACACTGGACCTCAGTGTATCTCAGTGGTTTGCAGTAAGAAGGGCAGAGGGCTGTGGAGTCAGACTGACTGGATTCTAACCCAGCCCCCACCCCCCGAAATGAATGACCTTGAGCGAGTTCCTTCAGTTTTCTGGCCTCAGTTTCCTGACCTGCAAAATGGGAGTAATAACTACCTACCTTCCAGAATTGCAGCCATTCAGAGAAAGAAAACACCTAGCTTGGCACTGAGATAAACGTGCCCTATTATTGACATTATTATTGGGGGAAAAGCCTTAAATCGGGTCCCGGAGCACGGGGGGATGTTCTCAGGCAGAATACCACCGGGCGGATATCGCAAACTCAGAATTAGGTATGGATGGCAGTAGGCATGTTAGCAGTAGGAGGTTGTGGACCCGAGGCCGAGCAACCCTGGGGCCCCGCCCTGAGCATGGGGTTGGGGTGTCCTCCCCCAGGGGTGCCCCCTGGGCCCAGCGGGGTGCAAAGACCTTCTCCCCGGACGTCACGTGCATTAGGCCGAAAGAAAGGTGTCAGATCGGCAGGGCCAGGGCCATCGTCTGAGAGAGTGCCGAGGGATCACCGTCCCCCTATCACCCCGGCAGTGCGAGGGGCCTCTCCGGCCCCGCCCCTTGCCTCAGTTTCCTCAGCGTTCCCCACTCCTCAGGCTCGCAGCCCCCACGGGGTGAGCCGGGCCGTCACCCTGGGACGACGCGGAGGAGCCAAGACCCCACGGCAATCGAGGGGCGGTGCCGCGCCCGAGGGGCGAGCTCGAGCCCTGCTTCCGCGGGCCCTCGCGGCCCCGCCCCAGCCCCGACCCCCAAGGCACCTGAGCTGCGGCTCATGCGCTTCTCCCAGCCGGGGGGCAGCTTCTCCTCGTCCGCCATCTTCCCTCCTGCCGCAGAGCCCGCTCCGCCTCCGCCGCACCGCCTCTGCCGCCCGCGCCTGCCCACCGCCGCTGCCGATTGGCTGGGTCCGCCCCGCACCGGGGTCTAGCGACGACACTCATTGGACACCCCAACTGTCCGGACGGGCTCTCTGGCTTCCTATTGAGCAGAAGCGGGGGTGGGCGGGACCCCACACGGTTTTACCTGGGCCCAGCCCCCGGTCGGCCTCACCCAGGCCCCGCCCCCCTCCTTTCCTCGGCCCCTAAGTGGTGAGAAAGGGACACGAGCCCTCCTTGTCAACGCCCTTTGCCGAGCTTCAAAGAAGCCCTCACCTCTCCTTTGCGTCCTTCGCCGCAGAGCTCATCCGATTGGCTACTGCAGCAGCAATTCCCGCCTTCCTAAGCCGTACCCGGAGGGCCGCAGCTCCCCATGCGGAAGTGTCTGGTTTGTATGGAGGTAACTGCAGCAGAGAAGGTTCTTGGCAGAGGCTGTGCTGCCTTTGCTGTTGCCATAGCAACGCAGTTACCTTGGTGATGAACAGCTAGGAACCCAGAAGCCTAAATTTGGCTCCTGCATCCTCCCTCTTCCCACCTGTTTCCTCCAGATGTCCAAAGCTAGCCCACCTCCTTTTAATTTTTTGTGCAAGTCTCTTTCCCTATGCTACTGACCCATGACCCAAGCACCTTACATTTCCGTTGGAGTCTACTTTACTTCACCTATTTCCTCCCAGTCTGGCTCCTGCCTCCGTCCTGGGTGACTAGTGGGTGTTGGCATTGCCGTTCAGATGGGAGGCGCGGATGGGAGGATGATGAGCTCAGTTTGAGTCAATTTATTTTTTTAATTTATTTTTTATTTAAGTATAGTTGAATGAGTCAATTTAAAATTAAGTCTGTGGCACTCGTGGGACACTGAGGAGGTGGTTGGAGACCTAGGGCTGGAGATAGACATGGGAGTCAAGACACCAACAGGGAAGAGTTCAACTACAGTTCATCTATAGCACAGACCCTTACATAACCGTTAAAAAGAATGAGGTGTAATGACATGAAACACAGGAAAACATGTCTATGACAAATTATAGAGGCAGGATGGGAATTGAAGGTTAAGAGCACACAGGAGTCAGATTGCTTTAGGTTCAAAGCCTGGCTCTACCATTTGCTATGACCTTGAACAAATCACTTAACTTGTTTACTTCAGCTTCTCCATCTGCAAAATGAGGGCAAGAAAAATACATATCTCATAAATACCTTTGATGTAAAGGTTAAATGAGTTAATCTATGTAAAGCACTCAAAAACAATGTCTGGTCCATAGCAAGGATATGTGTTGCTGGGTGAAAAAAAAAAGCAAGTCACAGTACAATGTGGCAATTATAGTATGTATGAAAGCATAACAAAACCAAAAAAAATCAACAAAAAATAATTTAATTATGTGTATTATTAGAGTATGTACAATTATCTCAATTGTGTAAAAACTAGTTTTATATCACAGAAAATTTCTGGATTTATTCAAATATGCTAATGACTAACACTGGTGATTCAGGTGAAGGAAGAAATGGGAACTTAAGTTCTAACATAACATTTTGATTCTTTTTTACAAGCATATATGAGCACAGTAGTAATAATACTTTTTAAAAGATAATTTTAGACTTAGGGCAGAGCTGCAAAAGTAGTATAGTTTTCAATGTCCTTCACCCAGCCTTCCCTTATATTAGCATCTTACATAATAGAACAGAGGCTCTCAACTAGGGGTGATTTTGTTCCCCAAGGGACATTTGGCAATGTTTTAAGACATTTTTGATTGTCACAAATGGAGGAAAGGAGATGCTACTCGCATTTAGTGGGTAGAGGCTGAGTATGTTACTGAACATCCTACAATGCACAAAGAATTATCCACCCAAAATGTCAACAGTGCCAAAACTTGAGAAATTCTGCCACAGAATAATGATCAAAACTAAGAAATCAACATTGGTACAATACTATTAACTAAACTAGACTTTAAAAGAATTTCCCCAGTTTTCCCACCAATATCCTCTTTACGTTCCAGGATCTACATTGTCATGTCTCCTTAGTCTCCTCCAATATATGTCAATTTCTAGGTCTTTCCTTGTCTTTCATGCTCTTGATACTTTTGTAGAGTAGAATGTCTCTCATTCTGATGTTTGGTCATGATGGGGTTTGTCTGGTATTTTCTCATGATTAGACTGAGGTTATGCATTATTGGGAGGGATACCACAGAGATGATATGCCCTTCTCAGTGCATCATACTGGGTGATCAATGATGTTGCAATGTATTACTGGTAGTATTAGGGTTTCAGCTGCTGCATGACAAATTACCCCGCAATTTAGTGGATTAACATTTGCCATCTCAGTTTCCAGTACAGTTTAGCTGGTGTCAGCAAGGGTGTCTGTGGTCTTATCTGAAGGCTTAACTGGATAGGATCTGCTTCCAAGTTCCCTCCTATGGTTGCTAGCACGATTCAGTTGCTAACAGGATACTGGACTGAGGACCACAAGTTCTTCACTGGCTACTGGCTGGGGGCCAGTAAGGCAGCTCACAACCTGGCATCTGGCTTTCATCAATGAGCAAGAGAGCAAGCAAGATAGAAACCAGTCTCTTCACAACCCAATCTCAGATGTGATATACCATCACTTATGCCATATTCTGTTTGTCAGAAGTTAGATCTACCCTATACTCAAGAGGAGAGGATCACACAAGGGTATGAATACATGAGATCATTAGGGGCCATCTTAGAAGCTGCCTCTCAGTTGTGACGTTTTTGATCACTTGGTTAGGGCAGTATCTGAACTATTTTCCCCTTTGTAATGAATAACTACTTTTGGGAGAGATACTTTTGAGGCTGTGCAAATATCCTACTTCTGCTTAAAATTTGCCCACCAATTTTAGCATCTATTAATGCATCTTGCCTACAGCAATTATTACTACGGTGATCCAAGGGTGGGTGATTTCTTATTTCTCTCTTTCCTTCTACAACTAACTGAAATCCTTTTGTAATGAAGAGTTGTCCCTTCTCCCCCACTCATTTACATATTCAGTTATTTATTTATATGAGCATGGGCTCAAGGACATTTAATTCTTTGGGTTATAATCCAATACTATCGTTATTTTGTTGCTCAAGTTGTTCCAAATTTGGCCACTGAGAGCTTTTTCACAGGTTGGCCTCTGTGCCCTTTTAACATGCTTCCATCCTTTTTATTTGAGTACTTCTTACCTTCTGGTACACAAATTTTGGGGGGTTGTTTTTTAAGCAGACAGGTAAGGAGGATATTGACTTGTAAGAGCAGGAAAATACGGGCTCAGCTTGTATTTTCCCTGCCCTAGCTCTGGAATCAATTACTTCTCCTCCCCCCCACCCCCACCCCAAATTACTTCTCCCAGAAGCCCTGGTTCCTTTTATTGGAGAATATTATTTAGAAAGCAAGATCTGGCTGCTGGGTGTGCTCACTGATACTGGGGTGTCACGGCTTCTGGTCCCTCTAAGTGGGTAAAGGAAATATATGGATATATGCACATGTCTGTATTTCTACATGTGTCTGTAAACATATTAAACAAAAACCATGAGTCCACACTGATAACTCCCAACTCTAATCCAGCCCCACAGGGTTCATTCTACCCACTCCCTTCCACTGTACCCTCTCCTAGTTTTATTTGTAACTTCTTTCTCCAGCAGCAAGAAACCTGGCTCTAATTATATACAATATATTATCCAACCCTGTGTGTGTATAAATGTACAAAACTAGTTTCAGATTTGCTAAGTTATACCACTGTAAGGAACATAGTTACCAACTAAAGTACAGTGTTTGTGTATAATTCTTTTTTCTTTATCCTTACAGTATTAAATCAAATTACTTTCTCAAGGTTATTTAGGTCAGCTCCTTTCTCCCCTAACCCCTTTGATGGGGACATGTGATTCATTTGTAATACAGGCAGATTTATTTGACAGCCTGCATTCCATCTTTCTCCCTATGTCCTGGTTGGCAAATGCTGAGTCCTGCATCCACCACTACAGTTCCAGACATAGCAGTTCCATCACCACAAAAATCCCTGCATACTGCCCTTTTATGTAAAAAAAAAAAAAGCAAACAAAAATCAATAAAAATACTAATTAAAAAGAATGAAACAGATAATTTATATAGAAAGAAGTAAAGCAATAAAAAAGCAAACCGCTGAATGGTATGCAAATATTACATAATATATAATTATTCCAACTGTATAAAAACTATAGGTTGTATTTCAGAAAACTTCTGGATTCACTCAAATGTTAATTATTGCCACTGTCGGTGGGGATATTATAAAAATAAGAAACAATTTTAAACAAAACATTTGGATTTTTTTTACAAGTAGTTATTGGCACGGTCTTTTTAAAAATAAAACTGAAGTTTATATAAATGCACTGAAAAAGGCCTGACCTCAGGAGACAGAATGGGGCCAGGAGTGGGGTCTTACTTTTGGCCTGTACTTTTCTATGCTGATTTGAAAACAAGGACTCACCTTGTCAAGGTTGTCATGAAATTAAAAAAAAAAAAATTGGGGGGGTTTGTTTTTTAAGCAGACAGGTAAGGAGGATACTGACCTATAAGAGCAGGGTTACCAGAAAACAGAGATTTCTAACTTGTCAGGAGGAAGTGGAGTCCTAGGGACAGGAGGGAAGCCAAGGGAGCAGGTAGGGAGGTGGCCAATGGAGACCAAGGTGAGACCATCACCCCAGGCAGCCAGCAGGTCTGCATCCCAAGAAGCTTGGTGGCAAAAGGCAGGCAGGAGCCTGGGTGGGGCAGTGGGCTAGACTTGAACATGGTTATGTCCTGAGGAGGATCAGCCAAGTCAATACACAGAGAGGGGAGAAGGGATGGAGCAAGGTTCTAGGTGAAACTCTCAAAGCAGCTCCAGAATGTGGCTCTGGGAAAGGACAGGGCCAAGGTTGACCCCAGGATCTGTGGCCAGGGGAACAGAAATGGAGTGTTTGGGGTCCTGTCTACTCAAACCTGAGGGAAGAAGGCAGGAGACAGCTAATAATGCCAGGCATCCTGCTGTTTTTTTTTTTTTTTTTTTTTTTTTTTGCGGTACGCGGGCCTCTCACTGTTGTGGCCTCTCCCGTTGCGGAGCACAGGCTCCGGACGCGCAGGCTCAGCGGCCATAGCTCACGGGCCCAGCTGCTCCGTGGCATGTGGGATCTTCCCAGACCGGGGCACGAACCTGTGTCCCCTGCATCGGCAGGCAGACTCTCAACCACTGCGCCACCAGGGAAGCCCCATCCTGCTGTTTTAACTCCATTATCTCATCATTATCTCATGGAAACGTGATTGTCATCATGGTTCCCCCTTTTAGAGGAAGAAACTGAGGATCAGAAAGTCTGACTCCTCCAAATTCCACTGCTAATGATCAAAATTCAAACCCAGTTGGTCTGTTGAGGCTGGGTTCTTCTTATAGCCTATGCCACACTGTTTCACTCTGTCCACAAGGATTTCATAAGCGCTAAGAACTGTGGCTGCTTAATCATGCTTTATCTCATCTCCACTTCACAACACACTACTGAAGTAAACACTGTTGGTTCCAGTTTGGATAAGGAAATGAAGGTTAAGGGAGATTAAGTAACTTGCCCAGGGGCACAGTTGGTGGCAGAGCTGGGATTCCACCCACAGTCTCTCTGAATCTAAACCTGTATTCCTAACTACTACATCTATTGTCCTTACCCAGAGGTTCCTTGGTCTATTAGGGTGACAATAATCCCAGGATCTCTTGACCTTCAGAGACACATGGCTAGCCCCAGAGCTCTGGTCTTCCATTCAGGCTCCCAGTCTACTGGCTCCCTCATTGATCCAATCTTGAACTCTTATTGAGCAGCTGGGTACTGAGAATATAGTGACGACCAGATGCCAACCCTCCCCTCAAGAGATAGCCCTCACTCAAAGATGACAACAGTGAATGAAGCAGCCTCTAAGTTTTTATTAACATGAGTTTTCAAACACAAGCATCCATATTAGTGTGGGGGGCGAGGGTGGGGGAAGAGGGAAGGACAGGGAGAAGGAATTCTGCCCTATTGGTAATAAAGCTCCAGGTTCATCCCATCGTGGATTTCATCTGAAGTACAGGTGTTAAGGAATCCTCACTGTGGGATCCATCCCCACCCCTCCCATCTGTCACCGTTGGGTCAGGGTGGCCACATTTTAATTTGGATCATTTTAATTTGAAAAGAATCCAAACTTCTAAAAAAGTTCATGTTCCTTTTGCACAACAAACATGCCCGAGTCTCCCTCCACTCTGACCTCCCGTACCCAACTCAAGTGGAGCTCAGTAATAAATACTTTGACTGAAAAGTGTCAAAGTCTTACAAGCCAAGTCAAATCAAAACATTTCACCAACCACCCTCCTCCCCCAACAAAATAATTACATGGCTCCCATTTTCTAAATACTTAGCATGTGCCACATATTAAGTTAAACACATTATGTGCATAATCTCATACAGACTCCAGTATTGAACAAAGAGAACCAAGTCCGGGTATGGAGACCCTTCCTCAAGAAGTCAAAGGATACAGTCCCCCAGAGATACGTGGTCCTTAAAAATCGTGTACCTGCGGGATAAAAACTTTTCAAGAAAAAGCCTAAGGAGGCCCTTCAGCCTGGAGGCAAGCTGAGGAAGTTCTGCCTAAGCAAAGGGCTGGCTGCAGCCCTCCCCCAACCAAAAACTTCTGGCCTGCTCCTGTCCAGTCCCCAGCTCTACCCCTGTACTCACCACTTCTTCAATACAATCTTGTTCCAACGGGTGCCAGTTTGGGCTGCAATCAGCTTCTTAAGGTCCCCGATGGTGTCATCAGTACTGGGCGCAGAGGAATTAAGGAAAATGGAAGGGGGAGATAGAACGCGACAAGGACATTTCCAGTAGTGAATGCACTCTGCCAGGACCCCATTCCCACCCCTGCCCCCGGGTTCAACTAAAATCACCCTACAACATAGACTGAGTTGCCTGCCTCATTCATGTCAAGCACCCTCTGGAAGCCACCGCCTCTCGGCCGCCAGTGGATACTTGCATTTAACGCGGACCTTCTTCCCCAGACGGTCGTTGCAAACAACCTCGATCATCCTGGCTGGAGCTACACAGGGCGGGGATAGAGGCAAAAGAATCAGGGCTTCAGGATGGAGCTACACAGAGCGGGGACAGAAGCAAAAGAATCAGGACTTCAGGGGTCCCTCAGGCCCCAAAGCACCCGGTTATTGAGACTTAATGTTCACGCCCCCCTCAATCTCCCAGATCGCAGTCTTCCTGGGCCCCAAGTCCCAGGACCTCGGACCCCACGGCGACCGCGGACCCCAGGCAGCCGCGCGTCCCTGGGCCCCCCGTCCCGGCCCAGTCCCATTTCAGGTAGCCTGAAGGCCGAGCCTCGCCTCTCGCAGGCGGGCGGATCCTCGATGGCCGGGTCCCATCAACTTTCCGCTACTCCGGGCCTCTCCACCTGGCCACCTCACCTTGAATCTCCTGGCACCAGCAGACGCCACACCAAGCTCGCTCGAAGGCAGAGCCCCGACCAGCGCTGACGCTAAGAACCGGAAGCGGAAGTGCGCTGCCGAAAGCTCCTCCCTCCGCTCCTCCCAGTGCCCGTCGACACCCCGCGGAGTTCGCAGCCCCGGGCCGGATGTGGGCTTGCGGTTCCCAGGAGCAGCTTTGGGGTCCCGAGCCTGAGTAGAGGGACACATGTGGACGGAGCGTGGAGCCGAATGAGGGTCCGGACGGGGGAGGGGCGTGGAGAGTCAGAGGTCATGAACCGGCGCCCAGCCGTTTGGATGCAGTTAGTTGAAGGCTTTTCGCTGTGCCGAGACGCCGTCTGGTGTGGCATCTCGGTGGGCGGGGATGACCTCTCGTTCCTGAGCCTGACGGAGCCTCTAACTGCAGCTTTAGGGCTTTGGGGAGCCTGGGTCAAGTCCTGCGGGCATCCCGTCCGCCCCCCTGCCTTCATTCAGGGCTGGGCCTTGGAAGCGTTTTGCTCACCCCTTCCCTCTGCTTATCTCGCCTGCCCCCAGGGACATCTTGGGTGCAGACTGCAGTCAATAAGTGAAGGAGCCTCCTGATCCTGGCCTGGATACCAGCACTTACCAGAATGGAGTTCACGTTGCACGCCTACCTGCAACTGCAAAATCTCCCAGGTCTGTATCTTCAAGGAAGGTCGCTCCCGCCCTACAGGGGGCACTGTGTACCAGTTCCCAACCTTGCCTTTCAGCGCCAAAGCAGACCCTGAACTGGTCTGGTTTCCCAGAGCTGGTGGGACAGAGAACACCCCTCCCTAAGTCCAACCTGCCAGTGGAACTGACTCTTGAACTGTTCCTTCTCAGCAGACAGGATTCTCCTAGTTTGGTGAGTCTAAAAGGATTCACTCTGAAAAGGGGCCACCACTTCTTTTTTTTTTTTAATTTTTATTTATTTATTTTTGCCTGCGTTGGGTCTTCGTTGCTGCGCGTGGGCTTTCTCTAGTTGCCCCGGGCAGGGGCTACTCTTCATTGCGGTGCGTGGGCTTCTCATTGTGGTGGCTCCACTTGTTGCGGAGCACGGGGGCTCTAGGTGCACGGGCTTCAGTAGTTGTGGCACATGGGCTCAGTAGTTGTGGCTCGCGGGCTCTAGAGCGCAGGCTCAGTAGTTGTGGCGCACAGGCTTAGCTGCTCCGCGGCGTGTCGGATCTTCCCGGACCAAGGCTCGAACCCGTGTCCCCTGCATTGGCAGGCAGATTCTCAACCACTGCGCCACCAGGGAAGCCGCGGGGCCACCACTTCTGATTCACCCAATCCGCCTTCTCAATCTAGGATATGAGATTAGGTGGAAGACATGAGATGCTTTCCTGGGGAAAGGGAGGATGCTCTGTGACCCTGTTGGGACTGTCCTGCCTTAGGGAACTGGCCCAAGGAGTCCCACCTCAAACACTAGACTCAGGGGCCTTCCTGCCTCAGGACTTTGATCCGTTATTTCTCCGACCCCTGCAGAATTCCTCTGAGTGGGCTTGAGAGGGCAGGGAATCTGAATGGAAAGCTTATTCAGATTGGAGACACAGGCTTTGGATCCAGACAGATGAGTCAAAACCCCTTAATATTAAGCTGTGTGATCTCAACTCTTCCCCTCTCTGATTCTCATCTTCCTCATCTATGAATGGGGAGAGCAATCCCCACCCTAGGATTGTAGTAAGAATCGGTCTTGGACCAGCCCCTGACAGTCCTCTTGCAGAAGAACAGATGGGGCAAGAGGGGGAGATGGGAAGGTCAAGGGTGAGCTTGAGGGGACTAATGTGCCGTAGAAAGTTTGGAAGGAACACATTTTTGCACTCACATAGAAATACTAGGACACACCAGATGTTGATGGTGTTTACCACTAGACGGTGGAATTGCTGTGTCTCATGTTCCTCTTTTTGGTGCTTTTGGTGTTTTCCCAGATTACCTACAATGAACATATGTTACTTTTGTAATCAGAAGAAAAAGTAAATGTTATTTTTTGAAAACAAGAAGTTCTATTTTTTCAATGTTTGATTCAAAGATAGCTAGGGAATTCCCTGGCGGTCCAGTGGTTAGGACTCTGCGCTCTCACTGCCGAGGGCCCGGGTTCAATCCGTGCCCAGGGAACTAAGATCCCAGAAGCTGTGTGGTGCAGCCAAAAAAAAAAAAAAACCCCAAATGTTTTTAAAAATTAAAAAAAAAAGGGGGAGCTAAGGCATAGGATGGTGATGCTGAGTTATGGGCTGGGGGAGATTGGAAAGGGGTGAGGAGTGCTGCTGAAAGGGGAGGAATATAAAGTCTGGGATTGTTGGGGGCTTGGGCTCCATGGGCAGTAGTGGGGATCTAGTCGGGGGCCGCCAGCCCCAACTGGGCTAAGGCATCCTGAGGAAGTGGAGGGGATGGGCAATGGGAAGTCCCAGGACTAGGCTGCCACTGCTGTATGGACTGCCTCCTCCAGAGCCAGGTGGGAGGGGGAAAGGCCTCAGGAGACAGGACACCTCACCTTAGAGACCTCTCTCCACATCCTGGTAAGTATCATTTGGCGCTTCCCATGAAGGGCCTCAGTGCCTGCCCGTTGAGGGGCCAGGACAGTCCCATCCTCCCGTCTAGGCAGCCGAAGGACCTGCTGTCAGAGCTGCTCTTGTGAGGAGGTAGATGCTTCCCAGGAGGGAGAGTTCTGGGTCAGAACTCAAGGAGCAAGCTGGGCAGGGCCCCTCTGCCCCTTGTTGCCTAAGTTTCTGACCCAGAGGAAGGAGCTTATACTTGGGGATTCCCATCCCTCCACTCCTGTATGCTTGATGGGGAGGAGATGGTTCTTAGGAAACCCCTGTAACTGAGCTGGGGTCAGGGACACCTGCGTTCCGCTGAACTTAAAGGTTCACCAGAGGGGAAATAATCTTAGAGGTGGAGAGAGTTGCTCAGGAGGTCCCTTCTCCCAACATCTCAGCCTGTCAGCAGGCCTTGGAGATGCAGCAGTGTCCAAGGCCGACCTGCCACCCCAGAATTCAGTCTGATACAGGAGGAAGACAAGTAAAGAAGACAAGTGAAGAGGTCCTTGCAATACAGTGTGACACAGGTGCTGTGAAGGGGAAGCCCAAGGCGCTGGGAGCAGAGGAGTCATTGCCCCTGCATGCTGGCATGGGCTTTCCAGAGGGAATCGGAGAGCACTGTGATAGAGGCCCATGCTCTGGCATCAGAAAAATCTGGGCTTGTGGCCCTGGCAAGCAACTTGACCTCTATGTGATTCTTTTGGTCTTTTCTTCCACAGTTGTAAAATGGTTGCCAGAGCATGAAGCATTTTTTTCTGTGCTCTTGTTTGAGGAAATATATCAAAGGGGTTGGATTTATTAATAAACATTTGGAACTTTCTTGCACATGGTAAAAATTCAAGCAGTACAGAAGTATTATATACAGCAGCATCAAGTTTCCTCACCCTCCAGACCCCAGGCCCTCCGCAGGGACAATTACAGTTAAAAGTTTTCATTTCATCTCTGTGTCTTCAAACATGTGATACAGAGCCTCCCAAGAAAATGATGAAACCTCTCAGATGTCAATAACGCGTTTCAATGGAGATAGGGACTTTGTATTTTCAAGTAACATACAGTATTTTAAGTTGTGTCAAAGGGCAGAAATGAATGACTTTGTTTTCATACAGGCCTTTATGTATAAAATGAAACACAACAAATATATATATATATCCAACGAGATCAAACTATATACACTGTTCTCTACACCTTTTGCTTTTAAAAGAAAACAATATCCTAGCGATTGTTCCAAACAGCACAGAAAGACCTACCTCATTCTTTCTGACAATTTGATATCCTAGAAGTGGAATTATTGGGCCCTACAGGGGCTGCAATCTGATATTGCCAAACTGTCTTCAAAGATTTTGCATCAATTCTGCCCCATCTGCAGTGGTTGAGAAGGTCTACTTCCTCACACCAAGGCTAGTGTGGGTATTTTCTGGCTTCCTCATCTTAATCTGATAGGTGAATACCACAGTGTTTTACTTTTTATTTATTTATGGATAAGTGAAAGCATACAGATTTTTAAGCTTTATTCAGATATAGTTGATATACAAAATTGCACACATTTAACATATACATCTTTTTTTTTTTTTTTTTTTTTGCAGTACACGGGCCTCTCACTGTTGTGGCCTGTCCCGTTGCGGAGTACAGGCTCCGGACGCGTAGGCTCAGCGGCCATGGCTCACGGGCCCAGCCGCTCCGTGGCATGTGGGATCTTCCCGGACCGGGGCACGAACCCGTGTCCCCTGCGTCAGCAGGCGGACTCTCAACCACTGCGCCACCAGGGAAGCCCTAACATATACATCTTAATGAGTTTGCTTTCTTTTGAGGGGGGGCGCCGGGCTGCCCGTCATGCGGGATCTTAATCCCCCCACCAGAAAACGAACCTGCACCCCCTGCAATGGAAGCACAGAGTCTTAACCACTGGACCGCCAGGGAAGTCCCAGTTTGCATTTATTTCTAAAACAGTTTTCAACGTCTCCAATTTCTTTGTGTGTATTAAAAACATGTATTGCCAGGGAATTTCCTGGCGGTCCAGTGGTTAGGACTCGGTGCTTTCACTGCCCTGGCCGGGTTCAAACTCTGGTCGAGGAACTAAGATCCTGCAAGCCGCACAGCGCGGCAAAAACCAAACCAAAACAAAACAAACAAAAAAAACAACCCAAAACCATGTATTGCCATTATAGGCTCTTGGGAGTGTGATTTGGCAAAACCTATTCAGAATTAAACTTCACATGTCCTTTGACCCATCAACCCAACTCCTGGTTATTTATCCTATAGAAATAAAAACATAGGAGGTATATATTACATATGTATGTGTGTGTGTATATATATATATATATATATATACACACATATGCATGTACATACATATATAAAGAGAATGTTTAGCGCCGATATTGCGGTGATAGAACTGGAAGCAACGTGAATACTCATCAATACGGGAATGTTTGAATAAATTTCACTGCCCTTATGAATTGCAACTTTAAAAGTGAGTGATATATTTAGAAAAAAAAGTGATATATATCTGGAGGGAGTGTCAGTTCAGGCTCTGTGGAGAACTATTTGGCGCCATCAATAAAAGCGAAAAA